ATTTATGCACCCCTATCTTTCTGCCCTGAGGAGTGACTCAGGTTCTAAGAGCTAGCCAGCCCTAACCCTGCAGTGTAACCGTCTCTGGCTTGCATACCTTCAGTCACAGGTGGCTCACTCCCTACCAAGACACCTGTTCGTGGGATGGCTCAGAAAACCAGAGCTGTCCAGGGGGCTGGGTCCCTGTTGCTCCAAGACGCCTACCCGGTTTTGCCTTGCAGGACACCCGAGCCAATTTCACCCTCTGCCCCAGCACAGGGACTTGAAGTTAGGGTTCCTCACCTCCCCGCACAGCCTCGTAGGACACTCCTCAACTCCCTCACCTCCCCATCCGGGCCTCCCCACTTCCAGCTTCCCTTCGCCTTTGTCAAGGGAGACTTGAGGGCTGAATGTGTGAGACAGACAGGAGGCCCTGGAGGCCCTGGAAGCCCTAACGAACCCTCAGCCAGACTGAAAACTTGGCCCAGCCCAGGGCTCAGCTCACAGTGGGAATGGAGTAGTTTTCCCACCAAACGGACTCTGTGGCTACCAGGGCGCCCCCTTGGAACCTCACTGCGTGCCTTCCCACCCCCCAGGCCTGAAATTCCATCGAGATGTTTCATTATTGCTCCAAGGCCAAGCATCCCTGGCTGAGGACAACATCGGCTTCCCCCAGCCCCCGCCCCAGCCACTTCCCGGCTGTGGAAAGGTGCAGAGTCACACCCCAGGGTTGCCACGGAGACGCTGAGGGGTGACGGAGTGGCGTCAGGCGGGATCTCTCCAGGAGCCACCAAGCCCTGGAGGGCCCCCCCTTTCCGCGGTCAGAAGAGACTCCCGGGAGATTACCCACCCGCCGGCTCCAAGCCCCGGGTCCACCCTGGAAAGACCTTCAAAGGCCATTCTTGAGTGAATGCCAGGAGGAATCTGCTCTCAGAGTCAATTTAGCCAGCCACACGGGTGGAAGGAATTTGCCGTTTCTCTTAACAGCGACCCCCTTGTGATTTATATGGGGGCCACTGTCCGAGGGCGCTGTTTAACGGATCACAGTGGAAAATGAAACGCCAAGACCCAGGCATCTCACTGGGCTAATTACCCTCAATGAGACCCAGCTGGCTCGGGGAGCCAGCGGGTCGAGGGCAGGGCGGGATCCCTACAGTCCAGCTCCCAGGGGACACGGAGGTTTGCCATGGCCTGGCCTGGGCTTGCTGCCCATCATCGTCCAGGCCACCGAGAGTTCCAGGAGAGCCAGTCTGGCCAGCTGATGAGACAGGTCCCCTTTGGGGATGGCCACAGCTTCAGGGTTTGCTACTGCCCAGGAGGTGGTGATCCCTGAGACTCAGAGAGACACAGGGTCCCATTCTGCCTGGGCGGAGACTAAGGCCTAGACAGCTTCAGGCAGGTCCTGTGGAGCTTCGGGCATGACTCTGGCCTGGCTGCAGGCCCCAGCCACAGCCTCTGGCCTGTGGTGCCTTCCTGGAGGCCCAGACCTCAGTGCTGGCCCCGGAAGCTGCCTTCAGAGGCTTCGTGCAGCTCAAGATCAGCTCTCTGGCCTCCTGGAGTTGGTTAAATGTCTCCCAAGAGTCTGCTTTGTGCCAGCCCAGAGCAGGTTGCTGGGGGTACGGCGATGGGCAAAATCCAACCCCACCCCCAGGCTTCTAGCCCTCTGGGGGCTAAGACAAATACACCTCCATCTCCCCAGCAGAAGTGCTTGGGGCCTTGAAATTACACAGAAGGGGATCAGGGGCTGGGGATGTGGCATGAGCTGAGAGCCGAAGGCTGAGTTTGGCTACCTGGGCACTTCACCAGTGGGAGAGTGAGTGGGTATGTGTCCCAGGCAGCAGAAGCCACATGTGCAAAGGCCCTGTGGTGGCAAGGAAGGGCAAGCACTCAAGGAACTGAATGAAGCTGTACCAGGGAACCACGGAGCCAAGAGGACCAAAGTGAAGGGGAAGGTGGGGGAGGCCACAGGTGGATCTTCTTTTTTAAAAAGTTATTTATTTATTTTTGGCTCTGCTGGGTCATTTTTGCTGCACAGGCTTTTCTCTAGTGGTGGAGAACAGGGCTCGTCTCTATTTGGCGTACGCAAGCTTCTCGCTGAGCTGGCTTCTCTTGTTGCAGAGTGCGGGCTTTGGGCATGCGGGCTCCAGTAGTTGCAGTTCCCGGACTCTGGAGCAACAGCCGTGATGCACGGGCTTAGCTGCTCGGCAGCATGTGGGATCTTCCCAGACCCAGCATGGAACCCATGTCCCCTGCACTAGCAGGCAGATTCTTTACCCCTGAGCCTCCAGGGAAGCCCCACAAGTAGTTCTTATGCCTTTTTTATTTTTTTTTTAACATTTTTTGCAAACGACTTATTTATTGGTTTGGCTGCGTCTGGTCCCCGTTGTGGTGTGCAGGACCTTTGCAGTAGCGTGAGGCCTTTCTCCAGTTGCGGGGCACAGGCTCCAGAGCGCGCAGGCTCAATAGTTGCAGCCAATGGGCTTACTTGCCCCCACGGCTCATGGGCTCTTAGTTCCCCAACCAGGGATTGAACCCATGTCCCCCATATTGAATGACAGACTCTTAACTACTGGACCACTGAGAAAGTCCCCTCTCGTGTCTTTAAAAAGATGTTTCCAGATATGACTGGGGAGAGATGAGTCCATTTGTCTCTGGCTTTTGGGAGCCTCAGGCCCCACCTCTGGAAGGGGCAGCTCTGTAGACCAGCCCAATGGTCTGGATCACAGGAGGACCTGGAGGAACCCATCAAGGGGTCATGGAGAGCCAAGCCAGGTGTCCCCCGGGAGCTAGATAGAGAGTCGTGGGGACTGCAGGCAGCCGGTGGTGGGCCCAGGTCAGGGGCAGACAAGACCACCAATGACCCACAGCTGGAGGGAGAGGGGCCCTGAAGAAGCAACACGTGAAAACACCCAGCAAAGCAGAGACCAGGGCCTTGGGGCCACCGGCAGCCGCACAACTGGTCCCTCCCACCTTCTTTGCCCTAAGTCACTGGAGCCCTCCGTGTCTGTGGGTCCTCCACTTGAACCCCGGTGGGTGTTACAGGTGCTACTAATCATCTGTGGGCCCTGGAACAGAGCGGGTGTAAGTGGACGGCTATCTGAGGGTAGAAGAATGGATGAGCAAAGCAACGGCTCCCAGTCTCCCGTCCTGAGTTGCGCAGAGCCCCTCTGGCCTTGCCAGTGGCCACCCTGTGTCCTCGTGGAGCCCGGTGGTACAGGGTCCCGCAGGCCTGCTGTGATGGAGCAGGGCCGCCCGTGCCTGCTAGGCGGGTGAGCAAGTGCCCAGGGCTCCCACTTCTTCCCAAAGCTTGGCTCTGAACTGCTTCCTGGGGACACAAACAAGTCTGACAGGTTCCTCGGCAGGCAGTAGCGGCAGCCGCAGCCCAGTCCTTGGTTTCCAGGAAAGTCAGACTCTTCGAGAGCAGAGGGATCAAGGCCTGGTGGAAGGAGGGCGCTTTCTGGAATGTTCTTCCCCCTCCAACTGGGACATCCCCACCCATGCTCCCAGACCTTGCTCCTTGGGTCCAGCTCCTGGGAGTCCCAGGCTCATAGGGGGTCACCTCTCTTCCCACCTCCCCCCGGGGGAAGGTTGGGGAAGGTCGAGGAAAAGGACCTCCTTGTTGAGACCCCGAATTCAGTCCCTGCCCCCATGTCCTGCTACATGGGGTCGCAGGGGGTACAGCTTTCGGGTTGGGCTCAGAGCCATGCTGTCCGGGTCCCAGCTCTGCCGTTGATCTTGCCACCTACCTCCTTTTTGATTTCCATTTTGGTGGTGGTGGTTGTTTAGTCACTAAGTCGTATCTGACTTTTCTGCGACCCCACAGACTGTAGCCCACCAGGCTCCTCTGTCCGTGGGATTTCCCAGGCAAGAATACTGGAGTAGGTTGCCATTTCTTCCTCCAGGGGATCGTCCTGACCCAGGGATGGAACCCAGGTCTCCTGCATTGGCAGGTGGGTTCCTTACCACTGAACCACCTGAGAAGCTCAGTTTTGGTTGTCATCGTTCCCTAATCGATATGTAGGATATTTTTTTTCAAGTATATTCGGGATTTAAGATCTTTGTCAATATCTATTTTTGGGGCCATTTATTTATTTCTCTATTTACTTATTTGGTTGAACTGGGTCTTAGTTGCCACACTCGGGTTATTTTAGTTACAGCACATGAACTCTTAGTTGAGGCAGGTGGGCTCCAGTTCTCTGACCAGGGGTGGAACCTGGGCCCCCTGCATTGGGAGTGAGAAGTCTTAGCCACTGGACCTCCAGGGAAGTCCTTGTCGATGTCTGTTGTTGCCAGTATCTTCTCCAGCCTGGGCCTTGCCCTTACAGGCTCTTCACAGTGTCCTTTGCTGAACGGAAGTTTTCAGCTGGAGGTCCAATTTCTGCCCTTTTATTATATGGTGGGTGTTATGTGTGCCATGTTCAAGAAATCTTTGCCCCCCCCCCCCAAACATCCCTGGAGTCCACCTCCTCTCCGCCTTTTCTGCCTCTGTCTGGCTCCTAGCTGCCAGGTCTCTGCTGGCCCAGTCCCACCTCCTCCCCATTGTGTCCCCACCCCAATTCTTGTCCTCCTCACTGCACGATCTTCCCACCCCAGGACAGGGCTGGCTCCTCTCCGTGTCTCCAGGACTGGTACCAGGGCTGGCACGCACTAGGTGCTCAATAAAAGCTTCATAAATGAAGGCAGTGTCCCGTGCCCCAGCTGGGGATCATTAAAACTGTCAATTAGTTCTAAACATCAGCTCATCAGGAACATTTGAGCAAAGCCAGTAAGTAAAAAGTTTTGGAAAAACCAACAGCATAGGAATGTTTCGCTTTCTCCCCAACCAGAGCATTAATCACGAGAACTCAGACCTTGTTAGCATTATTTATTCTTGCTTTTGCCCCTGACCCACAAGCCAGGGAGTCTTCTCTTCGCACACATTGGCCGCTGGGGCTCCTCAAAGGCCACCCCTGCCGTCTCCCAGTATTTGCTACCTCTGAATGTGTGGGGGGTTTGGAGCGGGGGAGGGTCCGTGGTCTTGTCTAGTCCTTCTCTTCGCCATGCGTGATGACGTAACACAGGTTCCTGTAGTCCAGATTGCCACACACATCTGGCGGGAAAGCGGCAAACATCTGCTTGACCTGGGGAAGGGGCTGGGAGTCAGCCTGGACCAGGGCCAAGTGGGGGACAGAGCCAGGGGTTACCCAAGGGCGTCAGGCAGAATGTCAGTCTCCTTTTAGCAGATGTGGCGGGGCACTAAGGCCAGGCCAGCAGCCTCCCCCCCCCCCCGCCCCCCGCCACATCCTGGTTCCCTTCCAAGGAGTCAGGGGGAAACCACGTCAGCAGACCCCTGAAGACAGAGCACCTCCCAGGAACGCTTGGTCGGCAGGTGCCCTGAAAAGCTCGCGCTTACCTCTTCCTCACTGAACCGGTCTGCCTGCGTCATGAGCTTCTCTTTGATGCTGCTCAAGGGAGAGAAAGGGTCACCTTCCGGGGAAGGAGGGAAAGGACCGCTCTGTGTGTGGACACATAGACCCTGAGGGGGATGGCCCAGGAGGACACCAGCGGGCCCAGCCCTGCGCCCCCAGCTGGCCATGTGGCCTCAGGCGACCACTTCAGCTCACAGCTTCCTCTGTAACCTGGACTCTCCTCTTTGCATCAGGGGAGGGCCCAGTGAAATAACCTGGGGGCCCCAACGTGACTGTGGTGGCCACTCCGACGTTGCACTGTGCACTCTCCAGGTACAGATTGTGTGTGCGTTTGCTGCATCGTGTTTGACTGTTTGTGGCCCTATGGACCGTATAGCCCGCCAGTCTCCTCTGTCCATGGGATTCTCCAGGCAAGAATACTGGAGCAGGTTGGTTGCCATTTCCTCCTCCAGGGGATCTTCCCAGGTTACAGAGGAGAGCCCCTTTGCCCTGGTTCTAGACGTGCTACTTCTTCAGCTTGTGGTTTTTGCTGACATCTGTAAGGTGCTTTGGAGCGTGATGGTGCTTGCACTCAGCCAAGGGGCAGGAAGGTTACCCAGCTCCGTGTCTTCCTGGGCCTGCCCAGGTCTCCTTTGCTCCTGCCAGCTCTGGGAAGTGAGCACTTTCATGCCCCTTTTGCAGAGAGGTTCAGGAGGGGTACCTTGCAGTGGTGGGGAGCCTGTCCCCCTGAGTGGTCAGGGAGAGCAGCTGCCCACGGTGGGTCAGGCCTGCCCGAGGGACTGGAGAAGTGGCCCGAGGTGGGATGTTTGAAGCTGTGGGGGAGGGCCGGGTGCCCCCAGGAGCTCGGCGTGGGGGGCGTGGGGACGTGGGGGCGGGGCCGCGGGGCACGGGGCGGGACCAAAGGGCTGACCTGGGCTTTGAGGATCCGCGTGCCCCGCGATGCCACAGCCTCGGCCCCCCTGAGGACCGACGCACATTTTCCATTATTTATGTTACTACAGGACAGTCACAGTTTCCAGCCCTGCACGCCGGGGACTTTTCACAGACTCTGTCTCAACCAGAGCCTTCTCTGTGGTCTGCCTGGCGGGCAGCCATGTCTTTCGGGTCCTATAGCCTGGGGGTGGTGGCTTCAGGTCCCAAAATGGGGTCCCCCAGGGTTCCTCCCAGCCCTGACTTTGCTCTGGGAGCGAAGGTGGGTGCCAGGAGAGGGGTGGGTGGAGCCCACTCCAGGGGGTACCCCCAGTGCCTCCCCGAGGTCTCCAAGATAGGGGTGGGAAACTGGACTCTGAGGGCTGGGTGAACGGGAGGCCTGCAGTCTAGAGGAGCCCTCAGGAATACCTCCCCCACCACTGAGGAGAGTGTGACTCAAAACTTAAGGGGGACGGGAGGACTGCAAGAATGTTTGGGGGACAATACATTGTCCCCCGCTTCCTCCCTGCCCCCTGGCCCTCTCCCGCCCCACCTCCATCACGTGCTGACGCTAATAGAAAGCAAAATTAGCCTCTAGCCGACGCCTGAAGCAACCTGGTAATTGGTCAGGAAGCCTGTGACTGAGGAAGAAATCTTGCCTGCCCAGGGCCACCCACAGGCCCACGGAGGCCATGGAGGCCTGAAGGGACGGCCCAGAGGTCGGCTCAGAAGTCGGCTCAGCGTGTCAGCCCCTGGGTAGTGTGTCTTCCCGGCCCGCTTTGCCCGCAAGTCTTGGCTCTTTGCCCCGTGCTCCCGCCGGGCTGAGGCTCCCAGGCACAGCAAGCATCAGTGCTCCCACGTTCAAGGACGCCAGCCCAGCGGCAGCCGGACAGCTGCCCACGATGGTCTCCTCGCTCCCTCTGCAGCCCCAGGGGAGCTGGGTCCTTCCCATGGCTCCGCCTCCATCCCCGCCTCCACTCGAGCTAACATCAGGCCCATTTCTCTCCCAACACCCTGGATTCCATCCGTACTGGCCTCTTGTATTTCATTCACCCAGCCGCTCCCCTGCTTCCATCCCTGTCAACCAAGACCCTTGCGTAGCTGCAACCCCCTTTTCTCCTCCTCCAGGCTGGCCTCCCTGTTGCTCCTGCCTAACTCCTTCTTAGGCTCTCCCCTGCCCCGGCCCCGCCCCCTGCCCTGCCCCCTGCCGCCCCGGGTCCAGGGCTGCCCCACACGGGCCCTGCCTACCTCTCTGTCCTCAGTCTCCCCTCCCTCCCTCCCAGCCCTCCCCCCAGACAGCCCGCTCCTCCTAAACAGGCTGAGTCCTGGCTCTTTTCTCTCTGTGTTCCGCATCTAGAATGTTCTCTGCTGCAGCCATGGCGATCCTCAGTCATCCTTCAGGACCAACTTCTACCACCACCCCTTCTTCCCTCGCCACCGGGAAGTCCTCCCCTGGGGACTCCACAGTCCCGGCACACTTCCCCACAAACGGAGACCCCCGAGGCCCAGGAAGTGGAAGAGAGATGGAGGGATGGCTGAACTGGGCAAGGCAGTGGCCTCCTGGCTCCTGGCCGGAACCTCCCTGAGTTCTGGGCAGGAGAGGAGACTGGGCCACCACCCCCATAATCCCTGCCCCCGTCCGTCTGTCCCCTGAGCCTCCGGGAAGAGAACAACCAAAACAGAAGGCGGAGGAACTTACAAATCAGCCTTGACGAAACCTTTCCCTTCAGTGTCGAACACCTTGAAGGCGTGGAGAATGGTCTCCTCGGGGTCCGTCCCTAGAAGCAGCACACACAGAATAAAGAGGACAGACAGCGGTTGGCACTGGGTCCCAGGGCCCCTTAGAGGCCAAGGGTTCAGAGAGCTTCTTCCCCAGCTTCTGGTCCGCAGTGAGGCCAGAGAGAAGGGAGTTTTCTGAGAGCCAAGGAATAGTAACAGTAGCCAAGGACTCTGCACTGAGAACCAATCAGCTTGCACAGCTGTATGTGGAGTCCCCAGCTGGGCATTTGTTGTTCAGTCACTCAGTCGTGTCTGACTCTTTGCAACCCCATGGACTGCAGCACGCCTCCCTATCCCTCACTCTCTCCGGGAGTTTGCCCAAGTTCATTTGCTAGGCATTTACTGCCTGCTTAACCCTCCTGACCACTGGCCCCATTTTACAGATGAAGAAACTGAGGCTCAGAGAGGCTAAGTGACTTGCCCAAGTTCTCACAACTGATGCCCTGTGATTAGGCTGTGGGTAAAGGAGAAAGAGCTCTTACCTGGGGGCTGTAGGCTCCGGCAGCGACATTGGAGGAGTCTGAGAGGTTATTTAGGCCAGAGGAGGGGCAGGTGGGCCAACAGGGTGGGTGAGGTGGAGGTGGGGGACTGAGAGAGGCAGAGCACAACCAGAGCAGTTCCGGTTTTATCACGTTTATAGTGTGGGCTTTGGGGAAAGATGTCATTAGAAGACGTGGTTCTGCTAACACAGTGGGATTGAATACCCAGCCTCCTGGTGGTACAGATGGGAAAACTGAGGCCCAGAGGGAGGAAGCGTCTCACCCAAGGTCTCAGGGACTGTGTGAATGGCAGCGGGTGATCTGGTAACCCTTACCTGGCGCTGTTTCCCCTCTGTCACACTGCCCTTCCTGCTCACTGTGGGCCAAGGGCTGCCCCTTCCTGCTTAAGGCTCAGCTGTGTCATCGGTGAGATGGAGACCAAGGTGGGATTTGCTGCCCGCCTCCCAGGACTGGTTAAGATAACATGTCATTAATGGTAAAGGGCTTGCCAAACATTACTCTATCATGGCTACAAACACATCTGAGTACTCTGTGCCAAGTCCATCTTGCAGCTTCACCATTTAACCCTGTGGAACCCCAACACACCACATGTGGTAGATATTGATGTCTCCAGTTTGTCAAAGAGGACACTGAGGCTCAGAGAGGTTCTGTTGCTGGCCTGAGGTCTCTAGCTATAAGGGGAGGAAGGGTTTGAAGACAACTGTTTGAACCTCCAAAGTCTCCCCGTTTGTTCTGCCCCTTTGTGTTCCTGATTCTCAGACTGGGTCAGGCCATCTGTGTCTCCCCCATCAGACCGGGTCAGGCCATCCGTGTCTCCCTCATCAGAATGGGTCAGGTCATCTGTGTCCCCCTCATCAGACTGGGTCAGGTCATCCATGTCTCCCCCATCAGACTGGGTCAGGCCATCCGTGTCTCCCCCATCAGACTGGGTCAGGGCTGTCTGTCTCCCTTTAGGGTCATCCAGGACAGGACAATGCCTGAGTCTCTCAACATTTCTGAGACTGGCCCTGAGTGGCTGGGCTGGGTTTAGTGCTGGCCTAGTGGCCTGGGAGCTCCTGGAAGCAGAGGTGTGGGCCTCCCCTAGGCAGGGTGACAGAAAGCCAGTGTGCCCAGGCCAGAGGCTGAGCCTAGTGTCCGTCAGAGCCTGGCCTTGCAGGAGGAGGGGCTGGCCAAGGGATTGTGGTGAGGGGCCAGCTGTGTGGTCTCGGTCTCCCTGGGTCTCTGGAGGGGCCTCTCTGCTGGGGCAGACTGGCTCTAGCCTGCCTTCCCGAGGACCAGCTGTATGTGAACTCTCTGCCCTGGGCTCAGGCCCCGTGGCTGGACATTTACCACCTCCCGGCCCTTCCCCCTCTTCCTCTCAGTGAGGGCCTCCACTCTGCCGACTGCAAACCTCATCCAGTGGGTGGCAGAGAGGCCGCCTCCCCTGGTCACTTCATGGCAAAGCGTCCTCATCCCAGTTAGAGGGACGAGGCGGTGCCTGCCCAGTCCCCCAGCCCCTGTCCCTGCCGCAGGCTCGGCCAAGCTTGCATGACAGGCTCAGCTGGAGCCCCAGCCGCGGCGCCCCTGTGAAAATGAGAAAAAGGTGCAGTCTGGGGTCAGAGCTCTTAGCTCAGTCACAGGCCGACACGCGTTCCGGGACTCACTTTGAAGTCACTGGCTGGAGTCACGCACGTCTTTCCCTGGGACTGGGCCCCCAGCCCTGCCCCCTGGACTCCTGCGCCCCTCGAGGAGGTGGCCGTGGTCCCAGGAATAACCCCTCACAGCTGGCCAGAGGGGGGCCCAGTGGCGCTTCTCTGTCGACTGGCCAGCACCAGGTGGCCGTGGGTTCAGCGGTGGCCCCCAGGTCCTCATGCCAAGAACTTGGAAATGTCTCTTGGAAAAAGGGCCTTTGCAGATGTAAAGAAAGGGTCTGGAGATGGAGTGACCATCCTGGTTCATCTAGATGGGCTGTAAAGCCAGTGACAAGTGTCCTTACGAGAGTGAGACGGAGGGAAACAGATAGAAGAGGAGGGGGCGGTATGACCCCTGAGGCAGAGATGAGAGCAAAGTGGCCAATGGAAGCCGAAAAAGAACAGGAAGGCTCTCTCCTGGAGCTGCTCAGTGGAGCCCGACCTGTCAGATTTTGGACTTCCAGATTCCAGGACGAGGGAACACTTGGCTGGTTTTTTGAGCCGTCAAGTTTGTCATCATTTGTTTCAGCGGCCTCAGGAAACTAACACAAACCCTGTCTTACAGACAGGAAACCACGGTGCAAAGAGCAGATAAACCTTGCCTGAGGTCACCCTAAGGGTCAGTGGGGGCCAGGTCTTCTTTTTTTCTATAATTAAAAAACATGTTTACAATTTTTTGGCCATGCCACAGAGTGTGTGGGATCCTAGTGCCCCAACCAAGGATCAAACCTGCGCCCCTTGGAAGGGCAGCGTCCTAACCACTGGACCACCGGGGAAAAGGAGGAGGCAAGGGCTTAAACCCAGATGGAGCTGAGGCCCAGGGAGGGTATCAGGCACGGACAACCTGAGCGTGGAATGATGATAAGACCCACCCCTCAGGGCAGCCCCAGCCCCGGCTGGCCCTTCCTTCTGACCATGGAATCCCAGCCCAGGCCTGATGCCACATCTCAGGGGAGTGCAGTGGTTAGAGCTGGAGATGGGTCAGGGGTCCATTCCTGCCACTTCGATGCTGGGACACCTGGGCAGGTGTGTGACCCGTCTGAGCCTCGGCCTCCTCACCTATGAATCCTTCCCCAGAGAAGCACAGCCTTCCTGGGATGGGGGAGGGGGGGCCACGGCAGCTTCCAGGACCCCAGCCCACCCGCCCCCAGTACTACCGCCTCCTGTCGGCCGCAGGTGGTAAGACAGAGCACACAAGATGAACCCAGGGCCAGGAAGGTGAGACCAGGGTGGGGGCGCTGTCCAGAGGGTGGGCAAAGGGCTTTCTTGCGAACTGTCCCCCTGGGCCCCTCACAGCCCCACAAATCAGGAGTCATGGCAATTACCCCACTCTGTGCTGTAGAGGTGGAAACTGAGGCGGGATCTGGTGTGTGCACCCAGGGGTTGGTGTCCGGGGCTACACCATGCCCCCAGCTGGGGTGTGCATCGGTGCAGGGCACGTGGGCACACGGGACCCCACTTATCCATGCCCACTCACCCATCCCCTCCTCAGGCTGCCCTTCTCACTGGGCCTCACTCACCCTTCAGCTTCTCCCCAAACATGGTCAGGAAGACGGTGAAGTTGATGGGTCCAGGGGCCTCCTTCACCATGGCTTCCAGCTCCTCGTTCTTTACATTGATGCGGCCTGGGGGAGGGGAAGGGTGGAGATATAGTGAGGGTCAGAGGGGACCCTGCCTGCAGGCAGCCCAGGAGCCCAGAGCTCAGGACCCCAGCGTCTTGTAGAATCTCCCAGCCCTACTGTCTCTCCCATCCCTCCACTCAGCCCTAAGGCCCTGCCCACCGTTTGCTGGGGGGAGCCTCAGGATGCGGGCACATTTAGCCATGGGCTGCCTATAGCCTCACCATCCCCCTGCCACCACCTCAGCCTCCCTGGAAATGAGAGCAAGTTGGTGGTTATCCCCATTTTACAGATGAGGCAACTGAGGCCCAAAGAAGCTGCGGCACATTGGAGTGGAAGACCTGGGTCCCAGGGGCTCACGTGCTGTAGGAGGGACCCACTGGCTGCCTAGAGGTGAGGACTCTGGGATTCCCTGAGTCCCACTTCTGAGTGTCTCCAGCCTCTTCCTCCCCCCCCAGCATGCCCCCCAACCCCCACTGCCCTGCTGACTCCCCCACCCTCCCACTCCAGGCCTCTGCAGGGGCCACTCCTGTCCCTGAAATACCCACCTCCCTCCCCTGGCCAGTCCTCCTCTAACACTGGGGAGTCCTCCCTTGACCTTCCAGGCAGAGTCTGCCCTCCTGGGAGCCCCCAGAGCACACCAGCCCCTCACACCCCCTGCGCCAGCCACCCTGACCTGCCCGCAGCCACCCATTCTTTCTAAAAGGCCTGGACTCGGCTCCACCCCAAGCCCCAGGCCTCCGGCTCCCGGTCACCCACCCAGGGCAGCAAAGGTGTCCCTCAGGTCCTCCTTGTCGATGAAGCCGTCCCGGTTCTGGTCCATGATGGTGAAGGCCTGGCAGAGACACGGCACTGAGCAGCCACCCACCCTCCTGCCCCAACCCCTCCCCAGAGGCCCCTGCTCCCTGCCAGGGGCTGTCCTCCCGCCCATTGTTATCTCGGCGACCTCAGTGGAGGCCGTCTGGCATCCGGTCATGAGAGTGATGGCTAACTGGAGCTGGGCTCCTACTGTGCACCAGCACCCCCTGCGGCTTCCTGCCCATCCCTCATTTCATGCTCCCTGCAGCCCCATTTTACAGAGAGTGAAACCGAGGCACAGAAAGAGGAAAGGCTTGCTGGAGGTCACACAGCAAAGACTCAGGGATAGAGGGGGGCGGGGCTGCCTGAGGACAGTTCATCACTTCTGGGGGGGCTAAGCTGCAGCCTGGCAGCCTCTAAGAGTGACGCCACCACCCCCCAGGGACTGAGGGCTGACCCCACACCTAAAGGCTTTCCGTGCATCCCAGTAACCTCCCAAAGCCCCGGGGGCAGCTGACCGACCTCTTTAAACTCCTGGATCTGTGACTGATCGAACATGGAGAAGACGTTGGAGCTGGCTCCTCCTTCCGCTTTTTTCCGGGCTCTTCTGGGTGCCTGTGAGGTTCCAGGCGAGGGTTTGCAGAAGCCCTTTTGTCGGGAGGTACCCCATCGCGGCACCCAACACTCAGGCCCCGTCTCCTGAACAACCCTGCCCCCCGCCCCTGCCAGGACCCCAGCAGAGACACCAGGCTCCTCATGAAGCCTTGCAGAGAAGCAGGGCATTTCCCAGCCCCTGGCAAGGAGCCTGCAGAGCACCCACCCTGCAGGGTCACCCTGCCGCTTCCCACCGTGCCCCCTGCCCCCGACTCCAGAAAGCAGGTGGTCAGCACCCAGCATGTGGAGCAGAGAGGGAGGTCTTTTCTAGCACCAGCCCCCACGTGGGGGGCCCCTCCTTTCCTGCCACCCTCCCCAGTGTTCAGGGTAACACCCAGGTCCCTCGGTCCCGCGATGTCTGTCCCTTGCCCCACTCCCAGAGCATCCCTCCCCCGACCTGGGTCCCCCACACCTGCTCTGCATACCCTGCTCTCCCATCATTTGCTTCTGACCTTCCCACTACCTGGGGCGCCTTCCCTGCCTTCCATCAGCAAGTAATTTCATCCTTTAGGCCCAACTCCTCCACCACCGCCTCCGAGAAGCCTTTCCTGATCAACCTCAACCCAAGGCCAACTAAGAGCTACCGCCGCCCCCACCTCCCTTCCCCACCGGTCTTGGGCTTCCATGCCCCCGTAGCCCAGAGCACGCTGTCCTGCCACACCTCCCTGGGTCTGTCCCATTGAAGGGAGTGGTGGGCTGCCTACCCCTACCCAGGGTCTGGCTCCAAGTGGGGGCTGGTTTGTAAAGTACTGCCCCAGAGCTCAGGGCCTGTCTTAGGGCAGCGGGTAGAGCAGGTGACCATCCTTGTGGAGGATGTCTGGCCAGACTTCCTGTATCCACGTGTTTCTCTCGATGTCATGGTGCCGGAGAGTCCACTCTTGGGCCTTTGCTCTCTGTCTCCAAAGCCCTCCGTGGGACCTTTCCCTCAGCAGCCATCACTAGGGCCCCCATGTGATGACTCAGCTCATGATGGGGGAAAGGACAGCCAGGGCTTCACAAAAAAGGGGGAGGTGGAAGGGGAGCCCTCACAGAACCCCCACGCCCACTCCATCCTGGCCTGTACCACCCTCTGTGTCCAGCCCCTGCTACCCCACCCCAGAGCACCGGCTTCACTGGTACCTGGCTCCGTGCCTGTGTGGTCTCCCCTCCCTCCCCTAGCTCATTCCAGTCCCCCGACCCTACGTCCCCACCCCCACCCTCACCCCCATCTCCCTGGGTCCCCGGGCTCACTTGAAGAGCCTCAGCGCCTGGCTGACTTATAATTAGCTTTTACTGGGTCCTTTGTCTCCACTAATCCTTTGAAAGGGGCTGGCAGGGGCAGCCAGGACGTTCTGATGCCGTAAAACCCCTGTAATATTTATAAATCCCTTCAGACATCATAAAGAAAAGAACCTCCCTGCAGAATTCATCTCACATAATTACAGATACATTTCCTTCTGATTAATAAAAGCAGTCACTTCCATCTGGGGGGATAGTCTGCCCTCGCTCTCCTCAGACCCCCCCTCGGCCACGGCACGCCCTGCCCCTGTCTCTCCCCAGCCTTTCGCGTCATCTGGGGAAACGTCACCCTACTGTGTGCCAGACCCTGTTCTAGAACCCTGAAAGGAAGGAAGGGCTTGTTTTTCTGCTACTGAACAGGCAAAAAAGACCCAGGGCCCTGACCGGCCTTCTGATCGCCTAGCTGGAACCCCCCTTCCAGCCCGGCTGTCTTAGAAATTCCCTTTTATAATGTGTTTCAGAAGGGATTATCTCAGAGCAGAAGGTGGGTCACCCAGACCTGAGTTCTAATCCCTGCTTTGCTGCTCACAGCCTCTGTGATATTAAGAAAATCAGTTTTCTGCCCCGAGTCTCCTTTATAAAATGGATATTACGCCTCCCTCAGAGCATCTGGGCAGTTTCCCTGGTAACTCAGCAGGTAAAGAATCAGCCTGCCATGCAGGAGACCCTCATTTGATTCCTGCGCTGGGAAGTTCCCCTGGAGAAGGGATCAGCTACCCACTCCATTATTATGGCCTGGAGAATTCCATGGACAGAGGAGTCTGGCAGGCTACAGTCCATGGGGTCTCAAAGAGTCAGACATGACTGAGAGACTTTCACTTGCAGAGCATCTGGACATTTATCAGGTACCTGCTGACCCAGGTGCCCAGGCCCAGGGATCTGGAGCTGAATCAGGCCCGGTTCTTGTACCCAAAGAGCTCACGGTCCAGCTGGGAGACAGATAATCAGTAGAAGGTGATGGAGGGAGGGAAGATGCTGAGATCTCAGAGAAGCCACTGTACCGCTGGGTATTCAGAGCAGACCTCCCAAAGGGGGTGACTTTCAGACTGAGGCTTGGCTGAGTTAGCATTTTCAGGTCAAAAAGGACTGATGAGAGTGCGTGAAACGGAGGCATGAAAGGCCAGCCCCACTGAAGGCCCACAGGGAGCCCCAAGCGGCTGGAGCCCAGGAACAAGGGGCGGGCGGCAGGGCAGTCCCCACATGGCCTGAAGAACCCCGCGGCAAGGCCAGCAGCCCCCACGCCAGGCTCCATTGGACTGGTGGACTGGTGCCTAGAGCAGCTGTCCTAGAACAGCAACCCCAACCCCCACTAAGAAGCATGTTCAGAGCCCCTCTTCTGTCCTGAAAGCTCCGAACCTGACTCACCCTGGCCCCCTCCACCCTCCTCTTCCTCGCCTCCCCGCCTTTCACCTCAGCAGCAGGCCTCACCGAGTCCAGGAAGGCAGAGACCCAAGTCAGGACCCCCACGGGTGGACTGGCCGGGAGCAAGGATCACATCAAGGGAGAAGAGGTCAGGACTGGACACAACATCAAGGTCAAGGATATCAGTGAGAGGGACAAGGTCAAGGTCAGGGTGAGCTCAGGCAATGAGGTGAAGGTCAGAATCACAAATGAAGTCAAGGTCACAGGATGCGGTCAGGGTCAGCAGGCAGGGCAGCGCCAGCCTACCATGGTCTGGAGGGTTCCCTCGAGCTGCGGCAGCGCTGGGGGAGCTCGGCGACGGCTCTTTAAATAGTGCTCCGGGGACGACAACAGTTTGGAAGGTGACGAAGGACATGGTGGGGGCAGCCCTGCCAGGCACCTGTCTGGGGCCATTCAGAGTGGGGGGGATTGTGGGTTCCGGAGACCGTCTGAGCCACAAGAATCTCTACCAGTGGGGGGCCGACCGGATCTCTGCAGCCAAGGGCACAAGGCCCAGGAAGGAGCTCCTGGCTGAGGACACACAGTAAGTTGAGGCCTGGAACCAGCTGGGAAGACTTGGCCTTGGACCACGCAAGTTCGGGAGAGCTCCCAAGACAGGGCCACCCACACCAACTGGGGAAACTCTGGGCCGGATGACGGCCCGCCCCCTCGAGCCGTGTCACCCTGGGTGGGACACCGCCCTCCAGAAGGCTTGGTCCTCTCATATGAGAAGTGGCGAAGACATGACATGCTCCAGGTCAGCCCGCAGAGAGGGTTTCTGCATCAGTGTGGCCCCCAGGGGCCCCTCAACCGATAGGACTACCGCCCCCATTACCAGGGAGATGAGAAAGGAAAGAGACAAACGAGAAGAATGGAGGTGCCTCTAGAGACGGACAACTGAGAAATCACGTCCGCATCCATCCCGCCACACTCACATGTTGGGATGGGGCCCGTCCCCACCAGGCCTGGTCCAGCCCAAGAATTCTCCAGTTCGAGTGCCAAGCCGAGCCTGCACCTGCCCCTGGCGGGCCTCCTGTGTGTCCAGTGCCACCCGGCTGCCCGATCCGTCCTGCCAAGTCGGCCCCCGCCCAGGACCGCCACGTCTGATGGGCTGCCAGGGCCGGCAGTGCTGGGCTCAGGCCGCGAGCCCACCCACCCTCAGGCACAGGACAGCTTAACTGTCCCCGGAGCTGGCCGGAGGCCTCCAGGCCCCGGTACGGATGATCCCCCATCCTGGGGGAGGGACTGTTAGGACAGTGAAAACAACAAGTAGCTAACACTTGTAAAACACCGACAATCAAGCTATGTTCAAAAGCCTGTATTGTCACCCTGACTCCTTTACCCCACTTTCCAGGTGAGGAAACTGGGGCGCACAGGGGTTAAATCACTCATCCCAGGCTGATCTCAGTGCTCCCCTCCCTGAGCCATCCGGACTGGCTGACTCTGACCAGACCCCTGACCTCTCCATCACCTCTGATAGAATTTTCTGCTCTGAGCTGAGGCCAGACCCTGCCATACTGGTCCCCTGGTTGGACAGGGACCAACCAGACGGGTCACAGGTGTTCGGCTGGTCAGGGTGGAAGGAAACCAGCTCTGGATGCAGAAGGTGGGATTCCAGTCCCTGCCCCACCTCGACACACTGAGAGATGAGCGGTGTGAGCATGGCGGGTGCCCGTCCCTCTGTGGGCCTGAGCAGAGGGGCAGGTGGCCACTGTCTGTGCCAGCCCCGGGGGAGCAGCCCTTCCTGGCCCATCCATGAGCCTTGCCCTGGAGCCTCCTGGCTCGGGACTTGCTGAGCGCGGAGAGATGATGCCATCCGGGGCTACCACCCCTGCTTCCTGCTGGCCGGAGGTGTCCCCGGGTCTCCTGCCTCCGGGGGTCGCTGCCCAGGACCACTCAGGGGCTCCTGAGGACGCAGGACAGTCCTGAGCACCCGGAGAGCCGCTCAGCCTGCCGGGAGGGGGGACATGCAAGAGGGGATCTTGATGAAATGCGGAGCGAGTGATGGCAGAGCTTACACGTGCTTAGCAAATGAGTCCCCACGGTTTCCCGCCCCCGGCCTCCTTCTCCTTCGTATTACGAAAGCAGGACGAGCTGATCAGAAGTCTGGTGGAGACCATGGAAACCCTCGGGACAGATGGTCAGGAAACGCTTGTCCCTGGGGTAGGGGAGTAGCAGGAGAAGTGGGGAGCATGCAGCGGTCCTGAGTAAGAGGAGCTCTGAGTTCTGCCCGATCTGTGGGACCCTCACTCAGCAACACACAGACCCTCAGTTTTCCCCATCTGAGAAAAATGGTGTCAGCAACCTGGACGCCTGGAAGCAGCCATCAGGCAGTCCAATGCCATGGGATGGAGGTGGGCTCTGGAGTCACTGGCAGAGTGCGCCCCCTCCCCGCCCACCATGGATGGAATTGTTGATGAAACTCACCATCTCAGTCCCCACAGACAAAAAGTGCCACCACTGGGACTTCCCTGGGGCGCCAATATGTTGGGATTCTGTGCTTCCACTTCAGGGGGCACCGGTTTGATTAGTGGTCTATAGCCCATCAGGCTCCTCTGTCCATGGAATTCTCCAGGTAAGAATACTGGAGTGGGCTGCCATTTCCTTCTCCAGGGGATCTTCCCCACCCAGGCATCGAATCTGGGTCTCCTGCACTGCAGGCAGATTCTTTACCATCTGAGACACCAGGGAAGCTCTAAGATCCTGCATACGGGATTTTAGTTGTCAATTTGAGTTGCCTTTGCTTGATGGGGGGATGAGTTCCCCATCACAGGTGGTATGCAAGTAACAGCCACTTGATAGGGAAGTTACAAAAGATGCTCAGCATCTAGCAGGGCTAGACTCAGAGGGCTGATGTATCCCCCTTGTGCTATGATAGGCCAGGTGGGTAGAAGCCTCTCAGTGGGGCAGTCATGGTGAGGGAGAGGCAGGTGGTTCTTGCTCTGCAGAGTGGAGGTTGGAGACAAGGCCAAAAAAAAAAAAAAATGGCATCACCCATGCATTTAGAGGGGACATTTTGGGCTGGAACCCAATGAATTGGGCCATGAAGGATGAGGAGGGCACAGTGGGCATTGCTCTGGGAGGAGGGCAGATAAAGGTGTGGATGTCTCAGGGCACCCACAGAGCAGCTCAGATATGAAGGTGCTGAGTGGGCGGGGCCAGAGTCCGGTGGGAGAGGGGAGGAGAAGGGGCAGGGCTGCTCAGTGGTGACATCCCAACCATTAAGAGGTGACCTCGAGGGCCCAAGCAGGACTCAGCAAAGAGTCCCCAGACCTGGCTTGGGGCCCCCTCTTCTCTTGGTTTAAGGGACTCTTGGCCCACTGAGCAGAGGAGTCCTGCCCTTTCTCCTCCAGCAGCCTTCGAACCCTCGGTGTTTTTACAGCAGGACACTGGCCACAGGCCCCTTGAACGGGGCGCCTCTCCCATGCTTCTGCAGACAGAGCACGCTCGCCTACCTTCTCGGCCGCAGCTATAACACAGGCAGGAGGCATCCCGGGAGACATTCTTCTTTGCTTTGAAGGCTTCCTAGTCTTTTCTAAGTGGCTCCAAATTAGAGGGAGGCTCCAGACAGGGGCAGGTCTGGGGAGGAGAGGATAGCAGGGAGTTTGGGGAAAGACAGGCCTCCCCTAATTGTCCTCAAGATCTTAGTCTCCGGTTTGGTAATTAGAGAGCTGATGAAGGGTCAAGGCAATTTCCTTTGGGGTAAGAAGGGGCAAGGGGGCTTCCAAAGTGGCTCAGTGGCCAGGAATCCACCTGCCAATGCAGTAGACAGGGGTTTGATCTCTGGGTCGGGAAGATCCTCTAGAGAAAGAAATGGCAACCCACTCCAGTATTGTTGTCTGGGAAGTCCCATTGACAGAGGAGCCTGGCAGGCTATGGTCTATGGAGTCACAAAGAATTGGACACAACTTACCGACTAAATAACAAGGGGCAAAAGGGTAAATTGGCTGTAAGTCTGGGTTCTGCTTGAAATACAAAGTGCACAGTGGTGACCTGAGTCTGACCCCTGGTCACTTGGTGGGGGTGTTGGGATGCCTCAAGCATTTGCACGGGGACTACTGTGCCCACAGTATGGGTTGGTTGTCCCTTGGCCAAGGTCGGATTTGCTGGTCTGGATCATAAGTCCTCAGGAAGCATCACCTGAGGGTGATGGGGTGTTAGGGTCCCACCTCCCAGAGATAATAAGGGGAGCCTCCTGGGTGTAGAGGACCACCCCCTTTGTCCAATCTCTGATTTCATGACTGGGAATGGGATGGAGAGGCACGGGATTATGAAAAGCAGGTATAGGAACCCAGACGTCCTGACTCTCGGCTTGATCACCCCACCTCTGGAGCCCCCAGGGAAGATCCTTCTCACATGCTCACATCACTAAGAGGCAGCAGAGGTGTACATGGAGGTTTAGTGCCCAGGTCACAGCCAGGAGGACCCAGGCATCCAGGGGTGGAAGGGAGGGCCTCTCACCGCAGCATCACCGCTGAGAGTGAGGGTGACTGACCTTCCCAGCTGCAGCAGCAGCGAGGCAGGTCAGACCTAGCGGTGACTTGTGCTGCGGAGTTGCAGGGACGCATAGCAGCCAGGAGCAACCCAGTAGCTCATTGTCAGTTCAATTCAGGCACGTGGGTGTAAAAGTGCAACTGTTCTTTGTTGTTGTTATTCAGTTGCTAAGTTGTGGCTGAGTCTTTGCGACCCCATGAGCTGGGCTTCCTTGTCCTCCACCATCGCCCAGAGTTTGCTCAAGCTCATGTCCATTGAGTCAATGATGCCATCCAACCTTCTCATCCTCTGTCGTCCCCTTTTTCTCTTGCCCTCAGTCTTTTCCAGCGTCAGGTTTTTTCCCCAGCGAGTCAGCTCTTCACGGAGAAGGCAATGGCAGCCCACTCCAGTACTCTTGCCTGGAAAATCCCATGAATGGCGGAGCCTGGTAGTCTGAAGTCCATGGGGTCACTAAGAGTCGGACACAACTGAGCGACTTCACTTTCACTTTTCAATTTCATGCATTGGAGAAGGAAATAGCAACCCACTCCAGTGTTCCTGCCTGGAGAATCCCAGGGATGGTGGAGCCTGGTGGGCTGC